GATTATTTCTGACACTAGGAGTATTCTAACAAATGGGGATCCTACCCTCATCCCTGTCAGGTAGGCATTTGCTTTACACACTCTCAGTGTCTACCTTGACTTTCCTGTCTCTTTTTTATTTAGCAATCTGGACATGAAGCCTGGCCTCTCATGGGATATCTTATATATAAAAAAATCACTGCATCAGTGAATTTACTCAGCTGTCTTACTGTGGTGATGCAATGCCTTACTAGAGGAGGAAAAGATTATCTGGGCTCAGGGTTTCATAAGTTCAAACTGTAGTTGGCCAATTCCATGGCTCTGGCAGAACAAAATGGTGCCAGACATGGAGGAGGAGAGCAGCTCAGGAAAGGGCACATGTGTGAGATCTGCTCACCAGGGACAGGATATAAACCCCAAAGGCACAGCCGAGGGACCCCCTCATCCAATAATACCCACCTGCCTGCAGTCAAAACCCAGTTAGTCCATTCAAGTGGATTAATCCATTTATTAGTTTACAGCATTTACATCTTATCTTTTCATCTCTGACTATTCTTGCATGATCGCACACAGGAGCTTTGAAGGGACACCTCATGACCACAGCACACTCACATCTGCGATGTTGCAGCCCATCCCTTCCCCTATCCTCATCCTTAACTAAAATGACCTCCTGTTTTCTTATAGATCCTGATTTTTAATTGGTACAGTGAAGTAGGTATTTCTGTGCATTTAAATCCTCATTAACTTATCCTAAGACTCATATTTGAGCATATATGGTCAAATTTATTAATCAATTATTTATACAGGAATAGCAGGAAAGACACTGAAGAGTACAGTCAACAAATCTCTAAGACACAGTTTTCTCCTTCCCAGAAATGATGAAATCATAATTTTAAACAGAGAGTTTTTGGCACCATGCAGACAATTCTGATGTCCTTTAGAAGATGATGTGCAAACATTCCTGATCTTATTTAGGATCTGTGAACATTTAAAAGAAAAAAAATTAAAATATCACCAAGCTGATCTCATTTGCATGATACTGGGTAACATTTCAATGAAAAGGAAAAGTCCACTCCTGGGTAGTGTAGTGCAGGACCATTCACACACAGCTCTTCTCTCTGGACCTTGTCTGTTCATGTATGGGTTCTACAGGGACCATTTTCATAGGAAAGTCTACTTTTGTAAGCACACCTCTTGCTTTGAGACATTCTAAGAGGCCATTGGATGTGTGCTACAAATTAAAATTTTTGTGACTGGAGCAATGGTGAATGGTCATAATCCCAGGGACTCAGCAGACTGAGGAATGAGGATCTCAAGTTCAAGGTGAGTTTCTGAATCTTAAATGATGTGTCAGAATACAGAATAAGAGAGATGGAGATGTAACTCAGGGATAGAGAGTCTCTGGGTTCTACCGCTACTACCCAGGCTTCCAAAAACTCTAAGTCTTTGAGATCTCCTCTGGGGTTATTGGAGATTTTCTAAAGCAGGGTCATTTATTTACACTGGAATTCACCAATGTTCAGACTATTCCATTCTCCTTGGCTTCACAAAATGCTCTCCCACTGTCTCCCAAAAAAATAATACCACTCTGAAAAATAAGGGGTGCTGTTTGATCCATGTTTTAAATGCATATAGTCATCTCAACACCCTGAAGGAGGGACCATTTCAATCATTCATACGTATGCCATGTATCATAAGGGGGAGAAAATATTAGGAAGTACACACCTCAAGGGTCTGTTCATCAAGCAAGGTCCTTAGGCATCAGGACAGTTATCTGGAAAATAGAGGGTAAGGAAAACTTTAAATCACTGGGGTTGCTCAATGCCTAGGAATTTGAATTTTGCAAATGGAAGGTATGATTCAAGCTCCCTGTCCTTTGGTTCATTTCAGAATACTACAGGAACAGGGAAAGTGACTTTACCTGTTTCAATAACATGTCTCATGTTTTTCTTTGGAATGTTATTTTCCACTGTCAGCTCTTCAAACTTCTCCTGGATGTCTTCACTCAGACTGTCTTCCTTAGCTGTTTTGCATGTGGGATAATGTGGAACAGGTTTCTGTTAGAAAGCGTCCTCTGGGTCCGAGGTAGACCAGTTGATCCCACCATCTCCATGCTCTGACTAATACTACTTCCAGTCATTTACGAGTGACATGAGAACATGGGTAAATTCAACTTATGAAAATCATATCATCCTGTAATTCTTAGGACAACTGAGGACATTCAAGATCCTTTATTGTGTGAACTCAATCCTGCCCAATGTTTTGGTATTATCAGGGGCTAAGCTTTGGAAATTATTCTATACTGTGCCTTCTCCTTTCAACTCTGTCTACATTCTAGAGTCAATGCCCCAGGATTCTGGATCATTCATCCAATATTTAAAAGCTCAAGAGGGGTGGTGTTGATCTGAGCTTTCCACCTAGCAAATTAGCATGCTCATCTCTGATAATGCAAAAAAAAGTAAAAAAGAAAGAAAGAAAGAAATATAATTTCGTCATTAATTTTTAAGGTTTGAAAGTTTTAGGAGTGCCTTGCACTAGGGCATCAAAAGAATTGTGTTTCTATTTCCTGGAAGGCAATGTCTCAGTACACCTCACTCAATGGACCCTAATGTGGGAACACATTTCTGTACTAGTACTAGTACTAGATTTTAGTACAATCTTTATACTAGCTTTAGTTATAAAAGTACACATATGCTCATACTTCTCTCCTGAACTTATAATAGAGAAAAAAATTATTATAAGGGCTGGGTAGTAGCTCAGTTGGTAGACTGCTTGCCTCCCAAGGCCCTGGGTTCAAATCCCAGCTACACAAAGAAAAATAAATAAATAAATAAATAAATAAATAAATAACTATGTTGTGTTTTAGATGATAAATATCAATTATACTTATCAGCAAGCACAGTCATATGAGTAATCTTTCCGTCTCCATCCACATTTATATTATGAAACACTATGACACCATTAGAGAAGTAGACTATTTTGAAGAAATTTTGCCCTTTGTGTGTGATAGAAAAAGAAACACTTCAAAACTCTAAATTATCACCTTTCTTAAAAAATTCTTTTGTGAGACTTGCTACCCTTTGGTCCAGAATAATCTCTATTTCACTAACATTCCATGTCCTGTGTTGGAATCAGGCACAGACGCTGCTGAGAGAGGCCAACAATTCCATGTCTCCATCTGAACATGATAAAGGGTCCCTGTCCTTTGAATCGCCTAATCATTCATGGATGTCAAGTGGTTTCCTGAGACCCAAGATGCTGGTTGCAGGATCAGCAGAATCATGGTAGGAGGTATTTCTCAAAATTTGTTATTTTCAACCCTAAATATAGAAATCTGCATTATTTTGGGAGGTTGCTTTTAGCTGAAGTTCAAATTAGGTTGAATTTAGTATAAATATTTTGCTATTATTTTAACTATTCTCATTCTTATATTTGGGGTTTCAGACTGTCAGAGCATAAATCCTTAATAGTGAGTCTATTCCACATGTTTTAATATTCAGATAGTTTGTTCAATTAAAAGCAGGTATGATCATATCTGGCAGAGAAGAAGGCTAATTTTGAAAAAAAATATGTTGTAACTTAAGGTCATTTTAAACAGCTCTCCATGCAGAGACCCCCATGAGCTATATGAACAGGAAACCCTTCTGACTCATCATTAATACCAACATCCCACTTGGGAACCTGAGATGATATGGACCATATTCTAACTCTCTCTGGTGATTCCAATGCTCACCAGTACACCAGAAATTCCAAGGTTGCATGAGCAAGGAGAACTTTGCTAATGGTGGCCAGTGTTCAGACCCCTGATGTGTGTGCCCACCAAGAACACGAATCTGAACAAACTTCAAGGAATGGGTCATGCAGTCCACCTTAGAGCAAATACTCACACTCGGCTT